CTAAGTCTGAAAGTAAGCGGCCTACTACCAGGCTTCAAGTCAAAGTAGCCTACGATTTTGCACTCCAAAAGAGCAAGAAAAGTAGTAAGAAGAAAAGGAGAAAGTTGGTAAAGAACGGTGTCCCTGTGAGTGATGAAGTTATCCCTGTAGGTGTGGTGGAGGAAGAAACTCCTGAGGAACCTGGTTCCCTTGTAAGACGGTCCTCGAAAAAGGCAGAGTTTGTTTCCATGGAAAAAGGATCTACTTCCAAGTCCAAGACAAAGGAGGAAGGGAGTGATGAATATATTCTTGTCAAGTACAAGGGGAAAGGTAAAGTTATTGGAGAAAATCATAGGAAACACAAGTTTGAAACAGTTGAAGAACCCAGTTCTGGGAAGAAAGCTAGAAATGACATCTGCCTTGGCTCTGAGCGACTAAGGCATCAAAAGGTTTTCCTGGGTCATATGTTTTTGACCCAACAATCTTTGAGATGGAAGGAATGCGTCAGCTTCTAGAAATGGTGGAGTTTCAACAATGGACACATCTATTCTACATTGACACCCCTAAAGTGTATGAGGAGGAGGTCAAGAGTTTCTTCGCCGGTCTCTTTCCAGTTGATGCTGACCATGTGTGTGTCTTAGTCAATGGGGTGGATATTGTTTTTGACGTGAAATTACTTGGGGAAATTCTGCAGGTTCCTACAGTTGGGGTGTCTAGTTTACGAGATGTCTATCAATACAACTTCCGCAATGCAGTCGTGAAAGATAATTCTAATCAGAAGGGGGACCAGGTCCATAAGAAAGCACTACTTCCTGTCTACCAGTTGTTGTTTGAGCTGGTTAACAAAGTTCGGTTGCCTCGAGTAGAAAGGCGATCTGTCACTACCAAATCTGATCTATTCTTAATGGAGCAATTGGACAGTTTCAACCCTGTGAGTTTGCCTACCATAATGATTGAGCACATGTAGAAAGTGGCTGATTTCAAGGATGGAAATCACGGGCTTCCCTATGGATTCTTGCTCACGCAAGTGTTCAAATACTTTTAGGTTCCACTGGGAATAGGTAAAGTAGGGACCCGTAAGCAGACATTCTCACAGACAACCTTGGAAGAGTGCGAGTGTATTGAGAAATATGGGGGTGTAGGAAGCACTTCAACTGTGTCTCAGCTCATCAATGCCCAATACAGTGCAGCTGAGGAAATACGTCGATTGAAGGCCATGAATGCTATCCTGGAAGGCCAGCAAGCCCGAGCGGTTCCCATTTCAAATGATGAGCTGATCCGTTTGACCCAAGAAAATGCTGACCTCACGGCACAAGTTGAGAACCTGAAGGCTGAACTGCTCAACGAGCAAAAGTTGGGAAATGTCAAAATATACCTTGTTCTCCAAACACTTGTTGCAGCTTCCAAGCCTTTTCCTACTAGTGCCCCCTAAGTTTCCCCTCAGTAACCAGTTATGTGGATATGTTCCTATTCCTTTTTGTTTCCTTGTTGATGGTTGGTAGATGTTTTTGTTGTTCTTTTGTGGTTGGGATGTACTACTACTACTGCTCTCGTGATCAAGTCCAAATGCTGCCTCTTCCTTTTTCAAAGGAAGAGGCATATTAAAGAAAAAAATTTAAATCCTCTTTTATTTTGTCTTGTACTTTCTCTTTGTGTTCTATTTTTCCTCATGCTAGTGTGCACATATGTAGCATGAGTTAGCTTGGCTGGACTTATTTGTGCTATTATTCTTTTTAATGATGCCAAAAGGGGAAAAAGTATCGGACTAAGGGGGAACCACATTGGGGGACTGGTTCTTATATAAGAATTGAAAAATTGACAGATTAAGGCATTGTCTCAGGGGGAACTCTTTGACACTGCTCTCTGCAGCCTTAATTCTGAACTTATAACTGTTTAAGTTTGTCATCATCAAAAAGAGGGAAAATGATAGATCTTAAATACTCTTACCTTATGTTTTGATGATATAACAAACTTACTGATAAGAACCAGATAGGGAACCTGACCTACTTGGATTGCTGCAAACTGGAACGGATCCTAGCTAAGGATGAACTACTACAAATTCAGGAGTTAGGAACCAAACAAGGACCTAATGCTCATGTGGTTCCTATGTAGCATTACAGAGTCATTTGGACACAGCTGGAACTAAAGTGACTAACGACACTGTTTCTACCGCACTGCAATATACTGTCAGCCCACTTATTCTCTAACCAAACAAAGCACTCACATTACTTCAAGTGATGTAATCAAGATGTAACCGATGAAGCCTTATACAAAGACATCATTGAAAGGTTTCTATTTCTCATTCAAGCCTTTTGCAAAAATAGAAAAATCATCCTCTCAAGCTTGAAGAACAAGGTTGAACGCCACTACGGACCAGTTCCTAAAAGATTGATTGTTGCTATCCTAGTTGAGTTGTAACCTTGTTATTGTACTTTCTATATCTCCTAAATCGCTTACTTAGAAGCATACTAATTAGGAATCCTCTTGCAAATCCGTAAACTCGCTGAGTTTAGGTTGTGACTAGATTTAGTCATAAAGAAAAGTCTTTGTAAATGTAGAATTACAAAGTGGCTTGTGGTGATAGCACCCCAAGTTAGAAAAAGCCTTTGTAACTAGGATAGTCACAAAGTGACTTGTGGTAAAGGTACCACAAGTTAATTGAGTAAATCCTTTGCAATAAGAAGTATTGTCAAGTGGCTTTTAATAGGTAAGATTACAAGTTAGTAAAGTTAAAAGCCTACAGGTGTAGGTCGTGGTTTTTTGATCCCCTTGTGCGGGATTTTTCCACGTAAAAATCCTCTGCCTCATTTACTTATTGCTTTACTAAGTGCTCTCAGCAGAAACTTGTAGAGGACCAGGTACTTTACGATTTGGTGAACCCATATAAGCTAACTGTAAAATACTTGTGTTGTTTACTTTCCGTATTTACTATTTCAGCAATAGTAGGTTAAGGAACAATTAGAAGAACTAGGTCCTTCCATAATCAATTTAAGCGAAAAATTGGAAACCATATAAATCACCCCCCCCTTCTGTGGTATTTAAGTATAAAACATCAGCAATAATAAACCCAACAAAGGTTGGGGTCAAATCCCACAAAGAGTAGGTGTGTGTTAGAGTGTCCAAATGCGTGCAAACTCGATGATTTTTAATGTAATCTTCAAGCAAATAGTCGTTGTTCAGTTATGTCTGAAATTACTAAAGTTTAACAAGAAATTCTATCGAATACGTAGAGTGAAAATAAGATGATGTATTTTCTAATAAAAGAAGGACCTAAGTTGCAACCTCAATATAGCATACTTAGTTCATGGGTGTCTTTAATCTTGCCTACATACTTTGGATTAGTGATTACGATCCAATTGATAGCTACTAACTAGAATTTTTCAACACTAGCAAGCTTTTCCTTAAGAAGTTCTTCCAAACTCCAAGGACTTCAATAAAACCCAATTGATAATGACCCAAGTAGAAATCTCCCTATTCTTGGTTCGATTTCATTACTCAAGCTTTATTAATTTCTTAATAAGCTCAAATCCTTGCTACTTGTTAATTATCTACCTTTCCAAGTAAAAAATAGATAATAAAGGGCTCAATTTAGTGTTTGCAACCACTAAATTAATATTAAACCATGTAAACAAGTAGATAATTGCAATCAAAGTATTAACAAGCAAGATAATTAAACACCTATTCACATTAATGCCATAAGATTTACATCCCCAGCTATAGAACTTAGCTACTCATGATAAAAATAGAAAACAAAAGATGAAAGAAGAAACTAAGCATAATTAAAGACTAAAGTTGTAAGAAAATTCAAACAAAGTATTGTTGATCTCCCAATCCTTTCCAACATAGCTCAAAGGCTGCTATGGTGTACAAGAGAATGAAAGATGTCCCTAAAATTGACCTAAACTTCTATTTATAGTCTTCAAAACCACTTGACAAAATTTCCCCATCAGGCAAACCGTAAGGTCAACCGTGAGATGCAGCTAAACCGTAACGAATTTCAAAAGCTTTATTTCTTCAACTCTTCATACCTTTGTTGAACCGGTTCCAACGTTTGGGGCAACCGTGTCTACCGATTTGCCTAAAAATCGTTTTGCTTTAACCTTTCTCCAATTTTAGCTCTAAAGTGATGACTTCTCTTCCCTTTTTGATATTCTCCAATTCCAAAGTTCTCACACAACTTCAAAATCTAAAAATATACCATTCAAAGCATAGTTATCCAATTTACTCCAACAAATGGGGCATTAAACTCTATCAAAACATAAGAACAATTAGCTAAAAAGTTAATGAATCAACTCCCTAAAACTTATTTTTTTGCTCATCCTCAAGCATATCAAGACTCAAACTTAGGCACCATTTCATGGAAGCTACTGAACATTTAAGCTCACAAGCTAAAGCTTGCATCACAACCAAACCAAGAAGCAGTCAAGCACAAAAACTCATGACTTTGGTTGGTACCACCACTATACTTAAATGCATGACCACTCAACAACTTCCAAAGGATTAAATTTCAAAACCACATGAATACCAAGCAAGTCAAGAAGATTTTCAAACTATGCTCCCAAAGCTTCTAAAGTTTTCTTTAAGTCACAAAGCTGCTTTCTTTTGTTCATGTGTCCCAATTGAGAAAAGAAATATTAATCACACCCGAGTTTTCATGTGCCCTCACAAATACTAATCACAAAGAAATATCTGGCATGTTAACATGCTACTTCAGTTAATAAGCACCCCTTGTCCAATCCCTGTTTCTCCTGTCTGTTGTTCTTTGTGGTAAAAACTACAATAGAAAATATATTCGTTTGTTCTTGGCAAGCTAACTATTATGCAAATTCTCTTCTATCTTGCTGGATTCAAGGTCAGGAGCCTTAATTTATGTTCATTAGCAGCCTACTCAAGGCATTGTACTTAACAAGATAATATGAACCAATGCAATTGATAAGCCCACCAAAACATATCACAGAATGCCTCAGGTTTATAAGCAGTAGAAATTGAAATTGAAAATTAAAAGGATAAGAGCAATTTGATTAAGGCCTAATAGCTTGAGATTTATAACAAGTTAAAGGGCCAACAGAAGCTAATTTGAACTGCATATCCGTTGAAGACAGAAATCAAGAAAAGAAGAAAAACAAAAACAAACACAAACACTATAACTAACATTGCACTCGATCTCTGCATTCTCGTGTTTGAAAGGGAATGAAAAGAAGAGCTCATAAGATACATTATCCACCAAGGTCAACGTTTTGGGAGCTCCAGCACAATAAAACTCAATACTAAATTTACATGGGGCACAATAGTATGCCATTCCACGATATTTGAAATCAGCAAGGCAGCCCGAACATTTGAGATCCTCATGCACAAGATCTAAGAAAGGAGTAAATTTAAGAGGGTGTTGAGGATGAGACATATGTTGAATCTTGGATGGAATGGAAAAGCAAATCTTATCAATAAAGTAATTGCAATCACTGCAAAAGTAGCCTGAGGAATCAGCAAAGTTGCACAAGCTGCAGCTCAGGGGCATCTCCAGGTTATATTCCTTGAGAGAATGGCGGTGAGTGAAATGTTTGACGCCCCCACATGGCTGACTTGGACGAGCAGGAGGACAATTCGTGATCGCCAGAGATTGCACCCGGTTTTGAAGCTTTCCCATTGAATCTTTCTCCATTCCATATTCCGCTACAGCAGCACAGTCGAAGTGACACAAGTAATCATGATCATGGCTATAAAATACCCAGCAACCCGAAGTAGGAACAACTTTAGCACAAATGGAGCAAAAGGGAGTAGCAGCCTCACTAGTTATTGGAAAGGAAAGGAACAGATGAAGAGGGTATCTCACTTTTTGGTTCAGGGCTATGGGAATAGAAGCACACTCAACGTGTAGATTGAAATTGCAAGACTCGCAGCAATAGTATGACTGGAAGAGGGTTTCATCAGAATCACCAGAACCACAGGCATCGCAACGAAACTGCTCTCGGCCGCTTCTGGATTGAAAGGGCCTGAGAATAAGAGTGTGGTCAAAGCCGGGGTGAAAATCATGGCGAATTTCTCTAGGGAAATTACTACACAAGTCATGAAGGTAAGTACACTGCTTCTCGCAAGCATAAGCCCAACCAGAGATGATGATATCGCAAAAGTTGCATTTGATTCCTTCACTCTCTAGAAGGTGCAACCGTAGCAACAGATGACGATGGCTGAAGTGATTCATGACACCCTCGCGAGGAGGATCTGTGGCATCAGAAAAAGAAGCTCTTAATAACTGTCTCATTCGCACCACCCTCCGCTGCGGACATTGGGCTTAGCTTCATTCATTTTCTGCTCTGTTTTTAGTGTACAACTCAAATTTGCTGCACCTTCCATGAGGGATAGACAACAGTTTTTTATGTAGAGTAACGAAAGAAGTGATGAGTGGCGTGGAAGTGGGATGAGTATGTATATATATATATATAACTCTTTGTCTACTATTTCTCTCTGTTTTGGGAAGATTAACCGTTTTGATCTAAGAATTTTTGTTAAGTTCTCAAAAATACTGATACTGATGATATCGAGACCAGGGGCGGATTTAGGGGGGCGCGAGGTTCACCTGAACCCCCTTCGTCGAAAAAATACACTGTATATATAAGGCAAAATCTGTTTTTTACCTCTATATATTAAGTTTTGAACCCCCTTAACACAATTAAAAAGTGTAGTTTAGTGGTTAAGGGGGTTCAAAATCTACATAAGGTCATCAGTTCAATTCCCACTAGATACAAAAATTTTTTTTGAACCCCCTTCGTGGAGATCATGCCTCCGCCACTGATCGAGACTAAATGCATTTAGCTTATTGCGAATGTGCTTTGATTCCTTCAATCGGCACTAGCAAATCCCTATAAATTTTACAGATTAAACGAAACTCAATTAATGACATGCTTTTACCTCAAATTTTTCTCTTTTTCAATGCTAATTAATCAAAGCACCTCCCAAGACTGAACTATGCATATTTCTGGTATTTCACTTTTACTTATTATTATTACTACTAATCAAGCACTACTTGTATGACCCAAAATTTAGATCTAGGTTTATACAATTGAATTTTTTAATAAAGTTGGTTTAATCTTAGCCAATATTAATATAAAAAAGATAGACCAAACGTTTTTGTAGTAAGATCTCACATGTGCTATTTGGGCAGCAATAAATAGCGATATATAACAATGAATGACATTTAAGTAAATAAGTGGATGTGAGTCACCCGAAAATTGAGACATTCCTTAATAGTCCTTCTGATAAAGATAGATGATGATAAGCCTTTGAATATTCGTATCCTCCTCGGATCGTGGGAGAAGGGATAAACAGAGATCTGAGAAAAAGGTGGACTTTGTATGTGTATGATACAGTGTCTTAAGAGAATATCAATATATTGTATCTTACAATGAGTGTCCCCTCCCCACTATAACTACATATCTTTCTATTTATAAGGGTATTTGAGACACAAAACTCTAAATAGTATAGCTAGGAGGAATATTCCCTCGAATATTCTCTAGGGACCTTATTTCTAAAACTAATCATTATTGCTTTACTACATGGAGTGCTCATCCTCGTCTTCGTCCTTTGTTGAGACATCTCGACCTCGTGACATCGACCTTCTGAAACCAAATCGATGATACTTGGCAGCCCTCAAAGCTTTCTTAATATCTACTAGGTCCACATATAATTATGATAATGTGATGACCCAAAAGAGCATCACTTGTGTTGCAATGAAATTCTACATTCCGAGGCCTTACAAACCTCCCTTAACACCACCTCGATTTGCGTGCGTAGTCCGGGCGCGTAGCCGGAAAGCTTAAATGTGAAAATCTGTGAAAAATGATAAGTTTTGACTATAAAATAAATAAATTTGACTTCGGTCAACGTTTTAGGTAAACAGACCTGAACCCGTGATTTGACATGCCCTGAGGGTCCGTAAGAAAATAAGAGACGATTTTTCAAACAACCCTTCTTTTCCAAACCAATTGTAAGTCGTTTTTAACTAGTTTTCGTCAATCATTAACATCTTTTAACATGATTTCAACTTAAAATCAAAGATTTTCATGGGGAAATTGGGTGTTTTGGGTAGAACCTAGGTCTTTCAAAAATTGGGGATTTAGACCTCGATTTGAGGTCAAATTTCAAAACAAATTACATATTTGATCTCGTGGGGGAATGGGTAATCGGGTTTTGGTTCGAACCTCGGGTTTTGACCACGTGGGCTCGGGGGCGATTTTGACTTTTTGGGTAAAACTTTGGAAAACTCATTTTAATGCATTCAAATTGATTCATTTAGCGTTTATTGATGTAATTAAGTAACTTGTTGCTAGATAAGAGCGAATTGGCGGAGGAATCAAGGGGTAAAGCTATAATTGAAACTTGAGTTGCGTTCGAGGTATCGAGTAAGTGTTTGGTCTAACCTTAGCTTGAGAGATTAGGAGTTGTGTCTTATTTGCTACATGTTAATTGTGGAGTACGACGTATAGGCATGGTGACGAGTATCTATACATTGGTGTCAAGCATGCCCGTGAGTCTTGTATTATAATTGTTATGACTCCGTTGTAGTTTATTGCGCTTCATATGTTATTATCAACATGATTCCCTTGCCGGGATGTTTGTTTGATATTAATGATCCCTTGCCGGGATGTATGTTTTGATAGTATTGTTCCCTTGCCGGGATGTTTGTTTGATATTGTTGTTCCCTTGCTGAGATGTTGTTGAAATATCATTGTTCCCTTGCCGAGAAGTTGTTATATTGCTCTTGTACCCTTGTCGGGATTCCTTGTAATTATTGTTGGCTTGTAAATGGG